CTTAACGGCATATACTTTTCCTCCAAAGAAATAAAAGGTACGAGCACTAACTTTTGTACCGAATTTTGCTGGTTTCTTTGGAAGGTATTGTATAAAACTACACCTTCCTCTAAATGCTATCAATATTTCATCTATTGTTGCATACTCACTTATCGTGTAGTATTTCTTACAATTTTCCACGAAAGGAGTCCAAAAATTTGAAATCGCTGCTAATTTATTGGTTGAAATTGACCAAAAGGTATACGAAACGTCTTTTAGACATCGTTGCATAAAACATAGGAGGTCCATACTTAGTACTCCATAAGTCATCCAGTGATAAATGAGCGGATCTGTACACACCACATAGATAAAGAAGACCAATTATTGCTAAGATTTCTTCTTGTCTGTTTGTTTTTCATAAATTTGCAATTTTTTGTTATTTGCTCTGTATTTTGAGGTTGGTAAAGACTATACAATCTATAATATCATCACTGATAAAACATCTCAGTGCGTCAATGGGCTTATTTTGCACCAGGTAAATTATTCACCAAGTTCTTGGCACGAGTACGTGCGGTTACTGGAGTCTTCTTACATTATCTTTTCCTAAGAAATAACTATCACCCTCATCACTTTCTGTCGCATTACCACTTTTTGTATTGTCTTCATCGCCACTCGCTTCAATTTTCGATTCTTCACTACCACTACTTTGTGCCTCGATCACTTCTGGCACAAATTCATCATCGCTCGATAAAATATCTGTAGGTTCTTCGAGAAAATGACAGTTCAGCTTCATTTAGACCTTTTCTCATCATATTTTACTGGCACTAATAATGACATACATTTTACTAACTATTCAAAGAAAAAAGTGCCTAATAATTTACCTCCAGTAATTCTAAAACGTAAAATAAATTTTTTATTGTAAAAGTCAGTAATATTTTACGGAACTACACTACTTCACTAACATTTATCTTTGAAATATTTGAAAAAATCTTGTTTATTTACAACGGAAATCGTAATTCGGTGATTCTCCAACCAATAAATTACTCCAGTACACGAAACTACAGAGTAATTCTTTTCAGTTTTGTGAACGATGGGAAGATGGCAGTTTTACCCCAAAACCTTATTCGCTTAACCGCAAAATTAACATACCACTTATATATTTCGATTTATTATAATTAAAGTCAAAATTAGCATACATTTTGAAAAACGTATTAAAAATAGAATACATAAATAGAATTATTTCGATAATAACAATAAGTTTGACTTAAATGAATTGTAGGAAATAAACGAAAACTGAAAATAAACAAAATCATGTAAAATGATCATTATTGTTACGAACACAAAGAACTTCTTTTGAACCGTATTTAGGTTACCAGTATCTAGTGTTACCACTTCTGGTTGTTATTGTAGCCTGATATTGTCGTAGCATACTTTCAATTAGAGATCTGATGGTTTCTTGAAGGAATAAGCGAATAAGACTTTGTCGCAGCTCGTCTAAGCTGTTAGGTGGTGGATGCTGACTTTTAATCCTCCGTCCCATTATATCCCAAAGATGCTCGATTAGGTTCAGGTCTGGATTACAGGCTGGCCACTCGAGGACTTGAATATTAATAGAATTTAAATATTCAGTAACAATATGTGCCGCATGTTGCCTCGCATTATCCTGCATAAGAATGCACCCATCGCCAATGTAAGGTGCAAAAGGTATCATAAAAGGTTCTAAAACATCTGTTATGTATCGTTCAGAATTCAGACGTCCACCATCAACAATAAAATGTTCCGTGCGAGCTGTTAAAGATATTTCATCACTGAACCGCCTCCGTATAATGTGAGTAACTTACAAATTTGTACGATTTGCCATGTAACTTACAAGGCAAAACGGTGACTCATCCGTAAAAATCACCTGCTCCCAATCTGTTTCTTCGGTGGTTTGCAGATAATCTAGGACCACCACTGGGATTTTGAGTACGAAGTCTTCTTCTTATGGTATCTTGACTAATAACAGTGCCATGAACCTCGCTTAGTTGTATTTGGAGCTTCGTGCAGTAGTGAACCGTTCCCTAAGTATTCGAAGCATCAAAAATCGATTATCCACCGCATTTGTAGCTCGTGGCCTACTTTGGCCACGTCGTCTAACATAGTCGTTGATCTCTACAAATCTCTGCAGAACCCTACCGACCATTGTATGAGCCACGCCAAACCTTCCACCAAGTTCGCGATTTGTTGGACAAAGTTACAATTTGAACACATTCATCACGATTTAAATTTAAATTTCGTCTAGCACGCTCTATTATGTATTGCACGAATGACAGTTATCTCATCAATTGGTAAAACAATTGAAAAACAATGCCTACTTTTATTTTAGAAGTGAGGCTTATTTACTTAAAAAACAAACCCCCCATGAAAAGCTGTTATGATTTCAAAATTAAATAAAGAAGAATCTTATACAAAAGGCGTAATAATGAACAAATTATTATAAGTGATATTAATGAATCGAAAATATATAATATTTCTCGAAATAAAACCAATAGTCAGAGTGGTGCGTTAATTTTGCGGTTAAGTATATATTACTGATAGGAAAATTAGTAAAGTTTTCCTAAATACTCCAAAGTCAACCTATCTAATTGTAAGATCTATCTAATCTAAGACAATTTTATAGCCAAATTTAGAATGGTGTGGTCATATTGACACCATGTATGCACTGCGAAGGTTAAATATTTATTTAATAGAAATATCGAAAGCACTCTAACAAGCTCGTTGAACGATGCACGTAAACTATTCTTGGCGTCTCCTTTTCTTTCTTTATTGTTGGTTGAACAAAGGGAAATTACGAAAGCACGGTTCCGGTGTTAAATTAAGTCGTTTCGTCCGTTCAATTTCCATATCGGGTCGAGACGCGACGCCGTGTGAAATTCGAAATTACTTATCGGTCTCTCGCGGCAATTAAGCCTTTGGATTAATAGTTATCATTTCTGGTCTTCGTTACAACAACCGCTTCGCTTCGCGCGCGGTCTATACGTCTAGGAAATAAACTACCGCGATATGGCTGGGCAGGTTGAAATTAGTATAATCCGGACGTTAACTCGACTATGCGTGCGATATCGTTGACGGCGTCACAAACGTGAACTGATTGTTGAAATTAAAACGGTTTATCTCTAAAGCGATATAGTTGAACGTTTTTAGACACATATATATCGGGGTAAAATGCACGATATCTATTTACGTAACTCAGCGGTAAATGTCAGCCATCTCATAACTCCATTGTTACGGCATATGTAAGCTTGAGCGTGCACGATTGCCGATATGAGGAATCCTGCGGACTGTGCTGAGCTCGTCTCTCGTTTGAACTTTTGCGTAGAAGGGCCCCCGCGCAGCGTTCTTGTAGATTTCGCGATAGAGGCGGCCGCGGTTGCTATCCGGACAATTGAACAAATAAACGCTACTTAAGATGCTGATAAAATAAATCAGTACGTTTCTATTTTAACCGCAACTGCCGCTCGTGACTCTCACCGAACCGTTTCTTCGTTTCCTTTCAAACTACCAGTAGACATCTTTCATACAGTAAATCACCGCATTAAAGATACTTCCCCCGTTTATGCTAAAAGCATCCTTTCAACTTTTTTGACCATAACTTTGAGACCATTGCACAATAAAACCAACGGCTTATTAGCGTTCATTAGCAAGTCCGCGGGGGTCATAATATTTTGTAACGCGAATATCTCTACTAAGAATCAGCGATGTTATTAGCGCTGAAAACAGCATTTAAAAGTTTTAATCGCGTCGAGTTATTTAATAACATACGTTCAACGATGGATGGTTATGTTACGCGTCGGCTTTGTCTTGAATATAAATCAATTCGGTGGTTGCCCTTTCGCCTTCAGAGGCACCTTTCGAGCACTCTTATAAATTTACAAAACGCAGAACAGGTGGTGTTCAGGAAGAAGCGAACGCGGGGGTGTATAAATATTCAAATGAACAACTGACTTCGGCAGCTGATCTTCGAGAAAACGTCGTGCCACCGCAGAAGACAGGTGACCCAACAATAATAACGATTAGAAAATTGCATTACAGTAAAGTCCAAAAAAAATTCTACTCATTTCGAGATTCTCGTAATATTTCAAATAGTTTACAACCAAACTCGTTCACTTAAAGTTTAAACGGCTACAAAGTTAAGTAGTAAACCTCCACGTGTATTGGCGAACGAAATTATAATGTTAAATCGTGGTTTACTGTCTGCATTTTACTGCCGGGTGACTTTAAGGACCTTAAAGCGTTACTGTATGGGCCGATAAACTCGAACGCGAGAAATAATTAAAACCGCGAAAAGTCGCGTCTCGTTTACGGCAAGTTCACAACGCCGTTTGCATAATATCGATCTCTAAAGGTGTCTGTTTGAAATTTTTCATTTTACGACCCTTGACAGATGGAACCCACTTATTTGATAGCGTCCGAATGGGCCATCTTAAGTTTTATCACTATTTAGGTAATTTTCTTATTCTATAAAAACGTTAATTTGGTTTCTTTTATTTTGTTATTTGTGGTATGGTTGGAACTTGTATCGGTGTAGACATCTTGTCTCCAGTACTGGTGCAGTACATACAAAGTACACCCGCAAGACCAACCAAGATAAACCGGCTCAAAGGTTCTTTGTCCAGTTGCAAATCACAGGTATCTTCGGTTTTACTAATTAACTAAGAGTACTTAAACGGGCGATAGAAAAATCCTGGTGGGAGCCGCACGGTTCTTGGTGCCCGGCCTTATTTGTAACGATAACAGTGCGGTTTGCGTTCTCCGCCTCGTTCCCAAACGATCCTAATTGATTCAAACGGGAGCAGAAGAAAGACTGCTTTGATTTTTAATTGACGTTCGTATCCGCTTGGGTAAAGTTTGCAAGTATACATATACATTTGTGTCAAGGGAGATGAACAAGTCTTTAAATGGAGAAGAATTTTTATGGCGTATTGACGTAACGAAAATTTTCTAAAAACCTTTCGTTTTATATTTTTCTTTTTGTGTTACAGGCGATGAAGAACAGCAGACGGACCAAGACTTTGCAAAGAGTAAGTATTAAAATTAATTCAAATAAATTATCGTTACAATAGGGGTTCGCTAAAATGTCATGACAGTCGAGAAATGCGTAAACGTGTAGCCGTCATCGTTCTGACGAACGACGACTGCTCCGAGTCTTTATGACGGTATGGTATAGGAATTAATTTAGATGGTGAATTTATAAGGTACCTTTTTCGGGAATTCCACGGCTGTCTTCCGCTCCTGGTGAATAATTGAGCGAAATATCCAGTTGTCAATTTGTATCATCATGTCTGGACCGTTCCGCTGCAGATATAACATCATTAAACCTTACTCGACATGAGATCCGCTTTGCTTTACTAATGAAGACAACGGCAGATGTTTAGATGCGACAGCTTCGTCCGCGTTACTGATACGAATAAATCCTGTAGACGTTTTTTATTGAAATTCACTCTGACATTGAATTTGAATATCCGGCGGTTTACACAAAAAAATAAACTTAAATGACTGTTATCTAACTAAGAATGTTTTCTACAACTTATTCTATGCAAAATCAGTTCAAAAGAAACAAAACAATTACTAAATTTATACTAGATGTTAATGATCTGAAATGCTCTGGAATCTCTCTTCTCACATAAAGAAGACTGGATCAGTTATGGTCTTTCAAACCGGGGTCATCGATTAGAGATGCCACGTTAACCTTTTACCCGTCAGCAAATGACACGCAGTCATTAGCATATATATTGCTGCACCTTCTTCGTTCTCACTTTTCTCGTCTTCTTACATTACCATTCTTGTTATTTTATGACCAATTTTAATTAAATCCTCAGCCGGCAACTTTTCATCTTTTGCCGTGAAACGATTTTCTATAATCGAAGCTTTATTGTTCGCGGGTTATTATCCGGAACTAAAATCTGGACCGTCCGTTGGAAATGTATAAAGGTAAAGTGCGGGGGCGTCGGCGAGGGTCGCAACTGACCACATGCCCGGCAGCTGTTCCATCTATTGTCACCCACGCGACCTTCTAGCCCTTAGGCCCGTTGATCTTTGCCACCTAATTTGGTCGAACTGGGGAGGCCTCCCCACATAATTCGCACATCTGGGTCTAATATTTCCGCGTTGGCACGCGCCACGTCCTCTTCAAATCTCACCCCATTTGTTCGGATAAGTCGATGACAAACTGCTTCATTTCAAACTCATTTTGACATCTTATTTTAGAAAACATTTTGGCTCCCACCATAACTTGATAAACCGATTTACTTTGGAAGAGACGCAATAAATATTAATAAACTGGATACTAACAAACTGCTTGCATTAGACGTCTTGGCATAAATCTGGTCGACTCGACAACGTCGTACAATATATTATTGCACGAGGTTCTAAGAAACAACCGGTTTCTCAAACAAAAAAAAATCGAACCCAATCAAATCTATTATGGGGAGAAATAATTCAATTAAGACCATTTTTATTTTAATTAATTCTATGGGTGTTTTTAGTTTACAGTTCAATTCTTAAACCTATTTTAGTTTCAATCAATAATACTCAAGAGTAATAAAGAAATCCAATTAAATAAGTGGTAATTTCTTACGCGGGGTGGGAAAAAAACGAAAGAGAGTTTCGAGCTGTACATTATGATATCGTTGGAGTTATAGCCTTATTAGTGATTGGTGTAGCCATAGAATTGGACAGCTATATGACCAATAAAGCCGCACCCAGTCTGGACGATATCTCTTCGTTGATAGATTAAAACGTTGTAGAGGAGCGACCCTCGACCCTCCCACGGATCTCGGATTCTGTCCCGCGACTTTCAGCTCGTTTTTAGCGTTTAATTAGCGCGTTCCCATCGCCGATACCATCGGCAGATTAATATTCTGCCCACGAAATATCGTTGGACCAACCGGGGACAAGACCAAGTTTACTACCGAGAATCGAAGAATTTACAACATCTCACAGAATCCAAGACAAATAAAATTTCCAGGGTCTGTAGTTTTTTTTGTTCGAAATTTGAAAATGCAAAAAAGGGTTACCTGCACTTTACGACGAACTCGTAAAGTCGATATAATAGGAAGTCGTAAAACAGAGACCTTGGACGGTTCCAGAAAAGCTCTGGTAGTGCGAAGATTGAAAAGTGGACCGAAAAAGGGATGGTCGCCTTTTCTAACCCGATTCCCGGAATCATCCCTTCGATTTATGACGGGCAAATTTGATTTTATTGGCTCATAAAGCACTGCAAAAAGTTCTCAAAGTTGTAAAATACTTTGGCAACAGCGCTCAGCAACAATTCCGTTGTGTTTTATGACTTTCAAAACAAAAACTTAAAGAAACAAAGAAATACAAATTATAAAGGACAATGTATTTTCATAGATTTCATTGAAAAGTTTTCGTTTTTAGTTTTAGTATTAATTTGTATGTTTTTTTTTGATTTTTGTATATTTTTTATTAAACAAAAAGTAGAATTAACATTAGACGTGGATCTAGAAACATTCGGGTTTAGCCATACGTCTCTCAAGACGGCTAAACCCGAATGATTCTAGTTCTGGGTATAGTGTTCGTTCTAGTTTAAGTTGTTATTAAAGAAACAAAGAATGACAAATTATAAAGGACAATGTATTTTCATAGATTCGCATTGAAAAGTCGTAGTGTGTATTGGTTAATTGAATCGATATATTTAAATTAAATAGGAGCTAAGGAAAACAATGTAGCCCCAATAAATGTTGCATAGTTTCCTGCTACGAGATTTGAATACGTAATGGTTTAATGCGCAAATAGTCGAATGAATTTCAGCTATAAATATGCTTTTAAACGAGTTTCACGAATCCATAATATAAAAATTGGCTACAAATCGCACATTTTTACGTTCGTGTTTACGCAATTACGCTAAAATAGTTTCGAGTACATAACAAATTTATATCATAACGTAAATAATTGATCACGCGGAGATATTTAAAATAAATATATTCTCGCTCTGAATAAATAATGCTCGGCCAGATTTAAAATAATTGATTTATTTTTCTCCCAGTGAAATATGCGTCGCGTCGGAGCTCGGGTTTTGTTTACCCCGACATCTGGAAGGGGAAATTTAACGTTTTACCCTTCGAAACAGACTAAATATACTTTCCCATTTTTTGTGAGTTCCGGAGGGAGCAATTACTGGGCTCGCGCTAACATTATAGCGTCAAAAAGTCCCCGCAATATCCGGTTGAAGACCTGCACACGCTTACACTTTTTCGATGATTCCATATGACGTGCGGGGGTTAATTTCAAGGGTGACCCGCGACCTACCGTACCTATCAATTTAGTGAAAGAGACTTGATGCAACTTGACAGACGCGCCTTTTGGCTTCCAACATCACATCGGGAGCACTATTTTTAACGGAGCCGAGATTCGGAAATAGACCAGTAAACGGATTTCCTTGAACCTTGAATTTAAACATTGAAACCAAGTATGTCACAGATGCACGAGAAACAGTCATTTTGAAATGAAATTAAATTGAATACACTGATACACTGAAGTAATTGTAAAGCATTTGCTATAATTTATGATGATAAAGTTTGTAAAACAATATTGAGCAAGTTCATATAGATCTCGCTAAAGAGCAGAATAGTTTCTAGTAGTGATGGATGGATGGTACCGGATATTCGGCATCTCCTTCGGCTATATGGCCACACTAATGCGATATTTGAATAAAAATGAAATTAATACGAAAGTTGATAAGATATGTCAACTTATTTGGATCCAAGATACAAAATGAACTTTTTTGATGCTGATTTATCTAACGAAGCTACTCTAAAAAGAGGATACTTTAATTAATAATTGGTAATATTTCCACAAGGATCCTTGAAGAAGTTAATTTTATAGCGAATTTTGCAAGTTATCGATGAAAATTGCAACATCGACAATTTTATCAAAACTTTAAATATTGTTTTCTCAAAAACTAAAAATTATTTTTCAAAACGTGTTGGTTCATTGGAAAGAGAACACTTTTATTAACACTTTGGGAAANATCGACAATTTTATCAAAACTTTAAATATTGTTTTCTCAAAAACTAAAAATTATTTTTCAAAACGTGTTGGTTCATTGGAAAGAGAACACTTTTATTAACACTTTGGGAAATTTTCATACTCATATCCTAAGAAATGGATTTTATACGAATTTTTAAAACTTAATCGGCGAAATTAAAAATTCGAAAAAATTGTCGATTATTTTAAAAGTTTATTTCTCAAGAACTGAAAGTGATTTTTCAAAACGGGTTTTTGCATTAAAAAGAGGATACTTTAATTAATAATTGGTGATATTTACACAAGGATCCTTCATGAAAATAAATTTTATAGCGAATTCTGCAAGTTATCGATGAAAATTGCAACATCGACAATTTTATCAAAACTTTAAATATTGTTTTCTCAAAAACTAAAAATTATTTTTCAAAACGTGTTGGTTCATTGGAAAAACATCACTTTTATTAACACTTTGGGAAATTTTCATACTCATATTCCAAGAAATGGATTTTATACGAATTTTTAAAACTTAATAGGCGAAAATTGCAAAATTTTAAGTCGATCATTTCAAAAATTTATTTCTTAAGAACTGAAAGTGATTTTTCAAAACGGCTTTTTGCATTAAAAAGAGGATACTTTAATTAATAATCGAAAGTGATAACAGCGGCAGTTCTGTTAGTAATTAATGTGGTGATGAATTACAAGCGAAGAGAAGAAAACTAGACAAAACTGCAACAACGTATTGGGATTGTTACAATGAGGTTGCTAATGCCAAACCTGATATAAATACAGCTGTATTCAATGAAAAAAGTCCTATTGAGGTTGAATTTGATTATTATCTACAGTGTCCAAAACTTAAAAGAGATATTAATTCCTGTGAATGGTGGAGTAGTTAATGCCGGATATCTTTATTAGACGATCTTTAGATCATCTGCATACATTAAACAGTTAGCGTGTTTAAAACACTTAATTATGTTATTAAGAATGCTTCCCTACTTTAGCAAAAGGAGATGATCAACTTTATCAAAAGCTTTAC